AGATAGATACCTAACGACCGAATCTTCTTCTTCTATAAAGTCTACGAAGTCCCTCGCTATATTACTTGCCTATATCGAGTACTTAGGCTACCTTCGCGTAGGTGTAGTATATGTTAATACTACGCTAATAGATACAATCTAGACGATCTTACTACGTATAAGTAGTATATTAAGAATAAGTACGAGAGTTAGCGTTTCGATTTCCTTACTAATACTAATACTAATCGGCTAAAAGAAGAGCTTAAGATATGCTATAGAGGTTGCTACGAGATAATAAAGACTCGATAGTAGGAGTATTAGCTAGGCGGTCGACTAGCCTATTAGCCGAATCTAGTTAACCGTGCTTAGTAGACTAAAGTTAAATAGGAGCGCGAACGCTACTTTCTTAAGGATATAGAAACCGCCTTTACTCGGAATAACGACGACGTATAGGACCCTACTACTAACGATCTTAACGCCTAGCTAGTACTTAACGATAGCGATATATAATTAGTACGCGAGTTCTTTACGGATCTTAATAACGAGAAAGTCGAGTATTACTAGAACGATAACCTCTTTAATAAAGCTAATAATTACTAGGGTAGAGGATATAAGGAGCGCTAGTTTAATATAGAGCTCGATACCGACCTAGAGTTACCTATATATAGCATTTGTCGACGCTACTATACTACGCGAGATAGCAACAAGCCGTATATAGTACCCGATCTAATATCGTAGGGCAATTATATAGATCTAGGGCTATAGCCTACTAATCTACTTATAGGCAACGATTTTCCTAAACTTACGATAATAGAAGAGATCCTTATTGCCCGCGTTTACGTCTACGTCGAGATGCGGCTTATTAAAGGAGCTTAGTAGCGTTATAAGAACAACGTAGTTAATTTCTTACAAGATATAGGCAAGGTTTAGAAAGAATTGCCCCTAGTTCCTAAGCATATTAAGACAGTTGTCCTACGTCTAGCCTAAAGAGATAATATTACTAAGCGTATCTTTATTCGCGACTTTAAAGTACGTCGTTAGGTAGTAAAGATCTAGCTTAAGCACCTAATAGCGAACTTCCCCGACTATAGAGATATAGCAATCGACGAGGAGCGCCTATTACAACTGCTAGATAGTTAAGACGGTGTTTTAGTTCTCGATCGAATATATATCGAGGAGTACGAAGAGGATTAGCTTCTACCGCCTCTAGCTTCGCAGCCTAGTCTATCCTCGAATAGCGAGCCTAATACGGATAAAGAAGAGGATAACTTCGCCGATTACCTAGAAGAGTTAGCACTTCCGTAGGTATATATTCTATAAGGTTAGCGAGAGTAGATTTAAGAGCTACTTAACTAGTAGGATAACTAGCGCCGCTAACGAGATCTAGCACTCTAATAGTAAGCAGCTAAGTAGCGATAACGCCGTATAGATCGTATATAGATAGATGCTACTAGTAACGACGATAGAGAGCCTACTACTTAAACTTAGCTTACCCTTCCGCTATTCGACTAAGTACCGCTTAATAAGTTTAATAAGACGGAGCGCTTAATGTTACGCGTATTTCTAACGCTCTATCCGTAGGGCTAGGCCGACTATAGAGATACTCGTTAGCGCGGTATCGCCTACGATAGCTATCTAGAGTATATAATTAAGTAGGACGATAGTATAGGTCTACGCCGCTACCGCTTTGCTAATTATCCTCGGTTCCGCTATATCGGCCTAAATACTCTAATAAGAAAGCAATTACGCAAGAAGGCAGATTACGTAATGCAATAGAACCTACAATACGAAGAGATTACTATCGATAATCTTAAAGTAGCGCTTACTACTAATAATAAAGAATTACGTCGTCTCCTAGCAAACGTTATTCGATATAGTAGTAGCCTTCGGGGTACTCGAGTATATTAGGTCGGCAAGACTAATAAGTTAGAGAATTATGTTAAAGCTATCAGATGCCTACGTCTCTTTCTAACTTATAGTGCTGCCGACAATTACTAGTAGAGGTTATAGCGTTATATACCGAACCCTCCCTATAATAGTAATAAACATATACGAGTTAAGACTAGCCGAGACAATATACGCGAGTATCTAGCTATTACCGCCTACTACTTCTATTGTCGGCACGCTTTTATTATAAAATTAATCGCTAAGAAGTTTAGCGTAACGGACTTTTAGAACCGGTTTGAATTTTAGGCTCGTAGTAGCTCGTATAATTATAGTATTATATAGTTAAAGGAGTATATTAAGGAGGGAAAGATACTTCTACCGCCGCTAGAGACTTCTCGTAAGGATCTACGTAACGATCTTGTAGAATTCTAGGCCAAGCATATTACTACTATTAATCTAAACCCTCGGCGTACTACTCTAGAGCCTAATAAGCCTACATTGCTATAGATAAAGTCCGTAGATATACGAAACTCTTAGTAGCACCTTATAATAAACCTTAATCGTATTTAGCGATATAAGTGCGGCTATAAGTATTGTTAGCGTAAGAACAAGGACACTAATACTATTTAGTGCCGCTTCTACTATCCTCGCGCTAACTATCTAGATAACGCTATTATTATATATAGTCTAAACCTACGTTACTAGATATACGATAGCCCTCGTAACGATACCCGTATAACTAACTATAGCCGTACTGTTTAGATAGCATAGATAGCGAACAACGATATAATAGTACATATAGACCGAGGCGCTATAGTTAACTACCTTAGCAAGTACTATACTAAGCAAGAGAAGCGTAGCGAATCTCTACTCGATTTAGGTAAGAAGGTCCTTCCTAGGATTAATACTAATCGTCCTATAGTCTTATTTATCGCTAAGATACTAAATAAGTTAATCGGAGAGCGCAATATCTCGGCGTAAGAAGAGATGCATCTATTACTCGATTTGCTACTCGCCTAAAGCTCTTAGACTATCTAGAACTTTAATTGCCGCAAGCTAGAAGATTAGTCTAAAGTTAAGCGGTTTAATCCTACGTCTAGACAGATAATTATATAGGGATAGTCGCTACTACTAAAGTATATAAATCGATACGGAATCCCTACGGAGAAGTTTAATCGCTCTAATCTTCTTGCCCGCCTAGACCTTTCCCTCTTCGAATTCTTAACTAAGTAGGACTTTAGTACCTATAAGAAGTGTATACGAGTAAAGCTACGTATTGTTAACTAGTACCCTAAATATAGCGGCATTCTAGACGGTCCTAATAGCACCTATAAGGATTAGTACCGTAACAAGGTGCTTCTTTATTACCCGTTCGATACGTACTATCCGAATCTGCTATATACCTTCGAGGAAGATACCGACATAGCATATAATATATAGAATAAGGCTTATAAGTAGTATAAAATGTTTTATAATTATCTATACGACTATATAGGTATAGACCTACTAAAGCCGACTAAAGATCTGTTTAAGGATAATGTTTATAATTTAGAAGCTAAGCGACTAGAACCGAACTACTTACTATAGTACTTCCGGGTCGTAATCCTACTAAGATGCTCGAAGATCTCGATAATTTAGGTAATCGGCAAGTCGATCGTAAGTATAACTAGACACCTCACTTTAGTAAATATAGCCTTAGTACTAGTAATGCGAAGGATTACTAGACCCGTATACGAGGAACTACTACTCGCGATAGTTAGCGAATCGGTATACCTATAGATCTCGGCTACTATATTAATAGACTCTCCGACGCTTAGAAGCTCTAGTATAATAGGATTATCGATTACTAGTACGCGTAGACTTAGGATATAGACACTCCGGCATTCCTACTTAATATTAATAGCAAGGCTAGTATTAGCAAGTCGCACGTTATCGAGACTATATTATCTAAGCTAGAAGCGCTTCTTAATTAGTTTAACAACTTAGATAAAGGCTTTCCTAATCTATAGATAGGCAATCCTATTATCCGTCTTATACTAATAGGAGCCGCTATAAACGGGACAAAGGGAAGTATATTATATACATTCTTTAAGCTACCGCTAAAGATAAAGGAGTACATCCCTTTAGATAGTTAGGCTTTAACTAATTTCTAATATCGGGTCGAATAGGTAAAGTATATTATTATTAATAAGAAGTCTAGAATAGACCTTACTATGCTCTACTAGATTAACTAGCGCCTTCGTTAGGTTTCTCTCGATGTTCCTTAAAGCTAAGGTAGCGTAGATACAACTCTACTATTCGGAGGCCGCTATATTACTATTGCTAGCGATTTTAATTAGCTATTGCCTATAAGAGGGAAGCTACTCTTCTCGAAGCTAACCGAACTTAAGATACCCGAGGATATTGCTAGCTATAACGCTTATCGACTATTCGATAAGACTATCTAGCTAAGCGTTATTTATCGATAGCAAGGCAATAATACTTAAGCTATCGCGTTTCGTAACGCTCTAGAGGGTCTTCGTAATATACCTATAGGCGTTAAGATCTATTACTAGGAGACTCTCTATAGCCGTATTAAGACTACTCTTCCTTAAGTAGAGTAGGACCTATTTAAGAATGCTCTTCGGTTATATCCTTATAAGAAGCAGGTTAATAAGTATAACTAAGAGGCAATGCGTAATAATAGTGCTCCGATTATACTTGCTAGGGCTAGTTATACTAGCGGTAGTAGTATAGTTAAAGCTAGCTATAAGAACGGCGGCAACCTCTATTCTCGGCTTCTAATATGTCTCGAGGCACGTATAATAGTAATAGAGAACCTTTAGACTAAAGGCGGCATTGTTAATAGTAGCTTAGGCACTATACGGGATATAGTTTAGGGGGATATAGCTAATACGGACGAGGACCCTCTCGACAAGTTGCCTACTATCCTTCTCGTTAAGTTAGACAAGTATACTAGTAAGACCTTTAACGAGGCCTTTAATATAGATAGCTCGTTAGGTATGCTACGTCGGGTTATACTAGTTATTCTAGTACGTCGTAAGTAGCTTTACAACTAATAATAGGATACTCGCTACTCTCGATTATAGTTTCCGGTTACTATCGCCTACGCTCTTACTATATATAAGTTATAGGGTATAATAGTCGACAAAGCGGTACTCGACATTTCTCGAAAGGACTTTATACTAGGTCTTACCTACGTCGGTACCTCTAGAGTACGAGGCCCTAGAGATATTATATTTAAAGCTACCTTTAACTTCTATAACCGCTTTAAGAGCGGCAAAGTCCCCGGTATAGTTGTTAGCCGGTACGCTAACTTAGTTCGACGTCGATTATAGCGCCTACTTCCTAAGGGCGTTGTGTTATTATCTACTCCTCTACGTCTAGACGCCGCTAGTACTAGCAAAGACAAAGGCAATCTTACTGTCTACGCTAAGTAGCAGCAAGAGAAGCTAAAGGTTTAACGAGCTTAGTAGGCTAGCTAAGAAGAAGCTCGTAAGAAGCAGTAAATACTATAATACCGCAATAATTTAGAGGCAATTAATCGGATAGAATAGCTATAGGCTTAACTATAGGCTAATCCCCGGTTGCTATATAACATTACTGCCCTTGCTTAACGCTATACCGGTGTCTATTCGGAGGCTTATAACTTCCGCTATCCGCTTACTAGAGAAAGCCTTAATACTAAACTTATATAAGGATAGATAGATTATTTTAAGACTCTGTATCCGTAATGCGCTCTACCGCTACTTTAGATAGAGCAACCGCATATACTACGATTAGCCTCTTATCGTTCGTAGTCCGCTACTCTACTAGTATATCCTACTAGTTTATATCCTATATATGCTCTAGTAGGTACTCCTATCGAGGTAACCGAGTTCTTTACGTATACTAATACTAATCGCAATAAAGCGGAATAGGCTCGCTAGACAATCGATCTTCTTTCTAGTTAGCCTAACCCTTTAGCTACTAGTTCCTTAATTCCTAACGCTACTAACATCCTCGATACTATCTAGCCTAGCGAGAGTCTCGGCTTTAGTAAATTCGCGCTACGATTTACAAATGCTCGTAAAGACTAGTAGGAAGATTAGGAGCGACTTAGGTAGGTTGTTCTAACTATTGCCGGAGTTACGATCGATAGCCGAGGCTAGAACCGTATCCTTATACGATAGGCACTATTCTAAGATAATAAGATAATAGATAAGTAGGAGGTATTGGATAAGTAGGGACTAATAAACGATGCTAAATCGGCTAATAGTAATAATTACGAGATAGTTAATAACTAAGTATATTAGTCTATTACTATATTAGTTGTAGTTATAGAGGCAAGGCCTAATTGTTATTCCGCTCGCCTACGGCTTCGCTCGGCTATCCTAACCTATACCGCGGGTCTACGGATACTTTATTCCTCTACTTTCCTTCTATATAGGCGGTATCTAGATTAGGTAGTAGGTATTATAGGCTATTATAATCCTTACTACTAGTTAGCTTGTCTGCCGTCGCGAGCAAATAGTAAAACTAAAGCTCTTATCCGTAATTGTAGGCCCGCTAACTGTATATAGGGGGAGCCTTCCCTTTAGCTTATAACCTAAACTTTTATAATCTATATCTAATAAGTAGCACTTCTTTAGCAGATTCCCCTGCTTATAATTAAGACTTCGTTATAGATAAGCAAGTAATAATCTATCCTAGTTAGGGTAGTTTAGTAGGTAGTATAGGTAGTAGCGGTAGTAGTAGTAGCGGCGACGATCCTAATAAGCGGAGGCTGCCTTCTACTCGCCTTAGCAGAATTTAGCTCGAGGAGAATAGTAAGTCCTTGCGGCTACGCTTGCTTGTTTAGCCTTACTAATAGTTCTTTAGTCCTAAAGGAGGTCGAGCTTACTATTAAGCGCCTTCGGAAGATCTTTATTACTCTAGGCAATAAGTTGCCTAAGGATCTCCTACTATAGCTACGTAATAGTAATATAGTTAAGTTCGTTCTAGCTAGTATCGATAGCGACCTATACCTAAGTATCTCTACTACGATATATAACCGAAATAAGAAGTTTGGTTTAGGCTCTAGGTTGGGTGTAGGCTACCTGCCCCCTGCGCTTATGTGTGTATTAGTTAAGCGTGCTATTTGTAGGGGCAACGACTGTTATTCTTGCTATAATTGGAACAAGTGTCTATATATCGATTATATAACCTTAACTTATAAGGACTATTCCTTCCTTAAGGCTGCCTATACTAACTATACTAGCCTAAATTATTATAGTAACTATAACAAGTCTAGTAAGTTAGCCTTAGTCCTCTACTAAGTTAGTACTAATTCTCTATAGCCTATGTGTTACGTCCTCGCTTAGGTACTAGCCGTTAGGGCAATGCTACTTAGTAGCTATTACTTCTACTACGAACTCCTAGTAGCAATATAAGTAGTAATACTTAGCAGCTATTGCTTCTACTATAGACTCCTAGTAGCAATATAAGTAGTAATGCTTGCCGTCTTTACGTTCTAGTCCTAGCTAGTATTAACTAGGATACTAGTTAGGGTACTTAGTAGATTACAAATATACTATTTTAGTAGGCAAATATATACGCTTAAACTACTTAGTAGGGCCGTAGTCGCAGTCTAGGCCCTTAGCTTTCCTCTAGCTCTAGACTATCTAATAGTAGTTCCTTCTGTAACTTCTCTAAGTATAAGGACTCTAATACTAGGATAGATTAGTCTTAAGAGGGCTTAGTAGAGAATCGAGGAATATATTTTATTTGTTTTTTAGAAGGGCTAAGTAGTCTAGATTAGTAAAAGTCTTATAGTATTAGAGAGCTCTAACTCCTAAGGGCTAGGTTATCTCTTGCTACTTTAGTTTCTCTTATTATATTAGGTACGCCTATCTCTACTAAGGATTAGTATATAAATTAGTACTATACGACGGTATTATTTTAATTATACTATCCGAAGAGGAAATCGTCTAAAGTATACCTTTACTAAAAGCTTCGTAGTATAAGCTTTAGGCGTAGGTAGAAACACTAATAGAAGTTAAGTGTCTTTTATATAACGTAAAGTATATCTAGCTTAGCGTAGAAGTCGATAAAGGGCGAGGAGAATATCGCTAGAGTAATAGTGCTTATAGGAGTAGTATATAAGACCGAGATCCCGATATTATAATAGCCGTTTTCGTAGATTTAGATATATACGACTATATTGCACTACTTTCTATAGGCTACTAGAAGAAAGTAACGATAAGAGGCTAGAGTATTAAGCTACTACTAAACAAAGTATCCGTATAATATTAGCTATTTATAGTCTATCGGCTACATTTAGACATCGCGATCCGTAGCCTTCGTAATACTATTACTAAATAGTCGTTAGGCTAGAAAGCATAGTATCGCAATTATACTACCCGAGTGCGATTTAAGGGCTAGATCCTAAAAGAGTCTAGAGGACGTATTAAGCTAGACTTATTATAAAACGAACGAGTATCGATATTATAAGATCTGTTATTACACTTCTAGAAAGAAGTAAGAAAGATAGGACGAAAGGTTGTCTAGAATAATCTAGTACTATTTAGCTTTAACTATAATCTACTCGTAGAAAGCAATGTCTCTCTTAGTATTAAGTATAAATACGAAAATCGCCTTTCGCTAAACGTCGTCCTTAGTATACTATAATAGTATAGTATATAGGTAGTATCGTCTATATTACGCGTAATAAACTTCGTACGCAAGTCTTTGTAAAGTCGCACAGTATAAGTAGAAAACGAATTTACTATCGGCTAAAGCGAAAATTTCTAGTAAAGTACTTCTTTCCTTATTATAAAATAGAAGCTATAATGCAATATTCTAAGCAAAAAGCGGTTGCTACTTAAGAGACTATACGAGATCTTATTAAGAATCTGACCCTAAAGCAGGTCGCTTATTATTATCGGAAGAAGCATATAGGAGCGGCCCTTAAGACTTCGAAATATAGGCACCCGTTTTAGTATACTATACAAATATCTAGAAGTGCTATAGAAAGATCCGTAGAGAGCAATTCGAGGAAGAGGAGAATCCGTAGTAAAGCAAGATCGCTAACTTAGTCTCTTCGTTATCCTATTATAATTTCCTAGCTTAGTAATACCCTTCTTTTAGTAAAGCTCTATATATCGCCGATAGACTACAACCTGCTTTCTCTAAAGGTCGAGATCTACTATTTCTAGCCGTAAATCGCGGCGTTAGTCTTTAAGAGTCGGTCTCGCGTTTTCTTAGTTACGCCTAGAAGCCCTTCCCTAACTATTCTAATATATATTAACTTAGTACTCGCCGTTGCTAGATTCGCTATCTATAGAGGATATTTGTCTTCGTTTCGGTATAGGCTTTCGTTATCTAATCTGCTCTAGTATAGCTCTTCCTTTAATAAATAAAGCCTCGCGTTAGGTATTAGTTACTAGTTGCGGTATAGCTAGGCTATACTTATAAGCATTTAGCTCTATTAATTTCCTAGCGGCCTGCTACTAAGAGATAAGCTAGATAAGTTTCTCGTTAGACTTGTTTCTTGCTTAAGGATATCGTAATCGTAGTTTTTCGAGATTATAGAAAGAGATATAGATAGGCTCGGGTAGCGTATAGGGTAGAGGTACGCTCCTAGTCTCCCGTAACGCAATTCGCCGAGTAGAGCCTTTACCTATAACGCTAAGCAAGCCCTCGTACTCTATTATCGTTATAGCTTCTTCGAAAAGTTATAGCTCCTAAAAGTTTACTCTAGGCCGTAGTATACTAAAGAGAAAGGTGACCTTTTCGTAACGCAAAGATCGCTATCTATTAGTATATAATACTTTAAAAAAGGCGTATATTAACCTTCTCGGCTCGTCTAGGCTATACGTAGATTAATCTAGTTCTAAGTACTATAGCGCTAGCCTAGCTAATACTAGACTACGGATAGTATCTGCGTTAAGTTAGCTTAAAACATTTAGATATAGCTAATACTAATTGCCTAAGATATCGTATAGATACCCTTATTTAGCGCCGTAAAGGCCTTTTTTAGAATGTCGCGAAATTCTAGAAAGTTATACTTGTCTATCTCTACGGCAATCTGTCTTAGAGCCGTATCTATATATATAATACCGATCGGCGTCTTTAGCGTCTCTAGTAGTCGAGCTAACTCGGACTATAGCTCTTCTAGGAGTATAGAGTCGGCACTCGCGATAAATACGCCTATCTAATAATTACTATAACCTTTCGTATGTTAGTACTGCTTTTAGTCTATAATAATTTAAGAGCATACGGTTAATCTTTGCCTATATATTACAAACCTATATATAAGCCTTCGAATAATTTGTCCTAACTTATGCCTAAAGTATTAACAATTGTTAAAGCTAGCTAG